ATGGTAGATATATTGATCTCCCTCAATTTGATTTATTCATAATCCTCATATTATTCGGTTCAACTTCTATAAATAAGCTTGAAACTTTTTTTATTAAGAGAAATATGTCCTAACTGTATTTTACGCTTGTAATCGTTCAAATTATTTCGATACACAATAGATAAGATACATGTATATACATATACATTAAAGCGAATGTAAGTGGCAATCGGAGAATATTTTCTCTACTTTTATTTTATTGCACTCAATTTCGAGATGGGACTCGTAATACCATTATAAATTAGAAAAATCTTTACAATAAATGATATAAGCGTACTTCATTCAAATTGATTAAATTATATGCGCTGCGCACGATTCCTATTATCACCCATAAAAATAGTCGTATTATCAGCTGTGCATTTTCGCACGAAGTAATCTGATAGAGCTGAATTGCACTACCTGTCAATACATCCAACTTTCTCTTCTCATTAGGGTGTCGTAGATTGACAAGCACACGTACGTATTCATATATAAAACTAATTGCATATGAACACCTCTACAGTTATTGTAAACTATGGGATAGTTATAAACCATATAACGAAAGAAAAAAGTTTATTTTTGTCCAATTTTCGTTAGATTTTCATAAAATAGTGTGACAATGGACATTGACACAATTAATAAAAATGTGTTCGACTTTTTTTTTCGGTATGAGTACTTTGACGAATGTGACAAACATAATAAAAGGAGTTAAAAAAACACTAATCGACCTCGATGCTCAGCAAAAAAGAATCATCAGTTTTTGTTTTTTTTCTATATGCTATCATCCTTTGAATATGTAAAACAAAAAGAATATAGAAATCCTTTCTATATTTATTCCATCATTTACATTCATATATCAAGATTGAATTGTCTTGTATGTAAGTAAAACCATCCGAAGATTAGTTCGTTTTCGAAAAACTCTATTGAATATTTGATTCTAGTTTCTTTTCTCGAGGTTATTTTGACATTTTATATTCTATTGAACGAGAAAAAGAACACAAGAGAAAAGTTAACTAAATTCCTAGTTCAAAGTTTTTGATGGAATATATTTACCGGTCATTAATTTTTAATCAGAAGACAAATAAAAAATCTCTTTTATTCTTTTTTAGTTTTCATTAAAAACTTCTCTGCAAGTAAAAAGCAGAAAAAATTAGAAGAACTTTTAATTGATTATTAAAACGAATAATCATGAATGAATCGTCGACGACGACGACGACACTCTCCGAACAACGTCTTGTAGAATTTAAACGTATTGTCGAAGGTTATTTACTATCCATAGTATGTATATGTGGTTTATTAGGCAATGCCTTAACATGTGTTATATTATCCAGTCGAATTATGCGTACATCAACAACAAATATTTATATATTTGCATTATCATGTGCATCATCATTTGTTTTAATTGGTTTTTTATTAACACATGGAATACGCTCAACTTTTCATGCTGAAACATTTTATCGATATATATTTACAAAAGTTTTTCCCATACATGTAACATGTTTGTTAATACAAATATATTTAACAGCAACAGTTGCTGTTGATCGATTTATTCTCATATGTTTACCATTTCGAGGTCAAAAATGGCGTAGTCCACGACATGCAGTATTTGTTGTTTTATGTGTTGCATTATTTTGTATATTATATTGTATACCATTTTGGTTTGAATTTGCTCTTATCAAACAAAATAATACACGAACTATAATTGTATCAAGATTTGGAGCACATCCATTATATCGTATATTAATGCGTAAATATCTTTATTTTGTTTTTGTTTTTCTTATTCCATTATCAACAATATTAATATGTAAAACAATGATTATTAAAAAATTATATACTGTACGTAAACGTAAACGTTTATTGGGTAATTTATCAAAACACAATCGATCATCAAATGCTATTAATTTTTTATTATTATCAATTGTATTTGTATTTCTTGTTACACAATTTCCTTATTTTATATTTAATGTTCTTTATGCATGGTTTGGTATAAGTTTAATGGCTAATCTACGTGCAAGACAATATCTAGCTATCAATAATCTTTTATCTGTCATAAATGCATCATCGACATTTATACTTTATGCTTTTTTCGATCGAAAGTTTCGACAAGTTGGTGAACATTTTTTATTTTGTCGACCATTACCAGCTGGTTTCGATGTTCAAAATGGTATAACACGAGTAATAGCATCAAATCGTCATGCAAGTATTTTCGTACCTAATACAAAACCATGTCATTCATCAATACATTTAATAAAAAATCATCGATATTCAGCTACTGTAAATAATAATATACAAGATTTAACAAAACAACAATTAATTGAAACACCATTAAAAACAGCAAGAAGTGTTCCATTTTTTGAAACTGAAGATCATGTGTCGACATTTGATTGATTATTAATCATAAGTTATAATTATATGTCTTTTTATTATGTTCAGATCATTGTTTGCTTTGCTTTTGTTTTTTCTTTTGTGGTTATAAACATTAATTCAATATCGAGTGTCAATTAAGGACTATACATTTATTAAAAAAAAAAAGAAAAAAGAAAAATCCCACGGAGAAGAAATGGAAACAAAAACTATCTTATCATATATTATTATATTTTATATGTCTATCGACTATTTTTTGTATCAACAGAATGATAAATGTTTGTTTTTATTTCATATTAAAGTGAAATAGATGAACAACAAAATTATGGATAAATATGAAATGTTAAGTAGAACTAGTGATAAACACTTCACTATGTGCAGATTTTATCTTGCAATAACAACAAATAAATAGACTATATATTTCTTTTTTTTTTTTATTGAACAATGAAAAAACTCATTATCCTAAACTTTTTAACTAATATGAAAAACAAAAGTATCATTCATTTAATATGACTCTTCCTTTAATTGTTCAGTGGAAAAAAATATATCAGAACTCGAATGTCAATTGCAATCTTCATATCCGTATAGAAAATTTATACATAAGTACTTCTATTTGAACCGTGATCAAAGGCTTCAAAACAACCTTATTAACTTATGTCTGATATATATATAGAAGAATAATTACATTCGTTATAAATATAATGATCATACTATGTGATTTTCTGTTATCAATAGTATGCAAATAGACATCAGAAATCCCACCGATAACCTTTTGCAAAAAAGAATATTCGTTCTGTCAATCTGTCCGTCATTGATCAATGGAAGATACAAGAATCAAGTATCAATTAGAGAATCATGAAAGAATGGATAGCATCCTTTAGTTATTTCTGTGATGAAAGTTATGTTAATAGAACAAACAGAGGTTATTTGGTTTAAGAATATAAAACTAGCAGGGTTCTGACGCCTCATTCATAGAAAGCTATCGTGGCATTTTATAAATAATCAACACACGACATCAATTTTATATTCAATTAACAGATGTTTAATGATCGTAAATAGATTCAAATATACAAAATTTGCCTAAACCGTCAATGTAGATAATTTTTTGATTTTTGATTTATTTCAACTCAAAAAAAAATGTTTTCTCTGCTAAGACTCTAGAATTAGAATATGTTTTGAATGAAATCGGAAATAAGATACAAAGTTTATAAGCAATACACTAAAGTTTTAAAAGCATTTTCTTATCATATAACTAGAAAGCTATCAGTATATATTACTCACCTGATCATGTTTAGAACACATAAGTGTTCGCTATTTCATGTACAATATTATATTTCAATAATTTCTTTTTTTTTTTTTTTTTTTTTTTTGAGAACAACTATTCCGTATAAATACTTCCAGTGTTATATTATTTATTCATGAAGGGTTCAAAAATATATTATCATTATCATTCACTGTAAATAATTTGAATGTTTACTTTGAACAATTTCGTTTCTGGTAGAATGCATTACAAATTAAATAGAGATTTACTCATTCGGTAAGAACATGAATATCCTCCTTACAATTTGCTTTGTATTTTTATCTATAGATTTCATCGAAAGAAATCTGATAGTGTCTAAGTAAAGTAAATAGAATTCTTTTTCTATTATGTAATCAAATCTATCTAAACCGATGATTAATGAATTGGAAAATAATCTTTTGTTTTATCAGAAAAGAAGAGTTGCATTGAGTTCAAAAAAAAACACATTAGAAATAAAATAGGACACTTATGAAACAACGATAAGATTTTATCAAAAGAGAAAAACAAACTGTTAAAATTCCTGGAGCAAAATAAGACTGCGCTATTCTTTATCATTTTTTGTCTCGAAGGCTTGAAGCTATGTAATGCAGCATTTTTTCAATGAAGATAACAAATCTATCATAAATATTCAATCATATTTATTCTCCTTGGCTTTAGTTTTCTTTTGAGAGTAAACGGTACGTGAAAATCTTAGCTGAATATTTTCTTCATTAACCTTTCTCGTCAAAATATTTCATCTATGCGTTCTACAGAATAATGAATTAGGGAGCAAAGAAAATAATTGTATGATCAAGAGGAAAAAATGAAGATTAAACATAGTTCAAGTTATTATCTAGTTTTTATTATTGCTCTTTGATGATTGTTCATCATATCATACATCTCTAAAAAAAGAAATGCCCTAGTTATTATTCATAAAATAAGAAACATGCTCAATTAAATATTATTTCATGCAACGATTCTACTTTTCCCAAAGGATTACGGAAATTTTTCTTTTATCTTAGTGTCTCGATGCAACTCTACAGTAATATATCATATAAAATCTATATCGTTCCGTCAAAAATTTTGCTTTAGATACAAAAATATAGATCATTTATTTTTGACCTTGAATTATAATCATAAATGCGTGTTGTTATTTATGTTTCTTTTTTTTTGTCTTAGGAAAATTTCTATGAAAATAAGAATACAAGAATCAATTGTGAAAAATATATTAGAGAAATAAATTTGAATGGACACTGCACAAAATCGAATGTTTATTATATAAGAGTCAGAATCAAAATGAACAAGACATACAAATACAAAACCAAAACAGATCAGTTATTTATGTTTTCTTAGCCAATTTTTTTTTCTTTGCATCATTTGCATGAGCTGCTTCATCATCATCATCGTCACTTGATACATCACCAAGATCAATACCTAGAAAAAATGCTGCATTAGCTCCTTTTTCTTTTTTTGTTTTCTTAGTTTTGAGTTCTCCATCTTCAAGTGTGTCATCTGAATGACGTCGCTTTTTGGTTGTTGTCACTTTTTCACCATCATCATCATTATCATTGTCTCGTGTACTAATTGCTGTTGATGATTTTTTCTTTTTCTTTTCTGCATGTATTAATTCAGCAGCGATTTGTACAGCTTCGTTCATATCTTCAGCAATTTGTTTTTTTTGTTCATCATAAGCCGTATCAGAAAATTTATGTGGTGGTGGAACACTTCGATAATCATTTTTCTCTTCATCTGCTGATGATTTACTTTTATGATCCGTTGATGATGTAGCAGATTTTTCTAATTGTTTTTGCATCCATTCCTTAAATCAAAAACAGATGTTATTATCCAATAAATAGCACATAAAGAATAGATTTTAATTGCTGAAATATGTCATACTTTAACGACAATAAAATGCCGTTAGAAAAATATATCTCTCAAACTACCCAAGTGTTGTTTATGAATAGATCAAAAAAACACAAAAAGACATTTTGACCTTGCTAATTGAAATAGAAATAAAATGATCATATTTTATTATATAGGCATCTATAAGTCACGTATATTCAATTGTCTTCTCTTTCTCGCAATAATATTGAAAAATTTAATTAAAAATACATATTATTTGTAAATTTACATACCTTAAGTTTTTTCTCATTGTTTACATCTCTCATTCGTCGTCCATTTAAATCTCGACAAGCTTCTTTATTTTTCGATATAAGAATTTGTTTACCAAATGAACGTAATAAAGATCCAAAACCACCCTTAAAAGAAAAAATACATAGATGAAAATAAATAGATTGAAAGATATTTTTTTTTTCTAAAATTTACTTTTCCTCCAAGTACTTTAGGCCAAATTTTATATGTTTCATCTTCTAATAATTGATATTCATTTGATAAATCTATTTTCTTGCCATTTTTTTCAATAATATAGGTATTTTCACCTAATAAGTCATTTAATTCTTGAATTAAATCATTAAATGCATTTGATGATGAGAAATTTAAATATTCTTGATGTCCGAATTGAATATACATCTAGAATGAACACATAGAAAACATTTAAATAACAATAACAAAAACATTTCATATTATCTGAAGAAAACAAAACCAAAAAAAAAAAAACAAAATCTTTCGACTAGAATACACAAAGTTTTTTTTTTCAAACAAGAACACTGTTGATATTTAAAGATAGAATAAATTTTTATATTGTGAAAAATTTGGTAAAGCACCAAGTGTTTCACCAACTAATGATGAAAGACGTTGAGCAAACTAAAGAAAAAAAAAAACAATAGATGATTTCTCTTATCATATTGAAACATAAATAAATAGAAAAAAATTTTACTCGACAAACTGATGGCAAAAAAAATTGATTACGTTGTGGAATATGTAATGTTAAATAAAGTATAAGTCTTTGAATTTTTTGTGCTGATAAATCAGTATTATCAAATAGAACAAGAAATTGACGAGCTTGTAATGTTGAACAATGATCACGATGTGATGATAAATAGAAACAATAACTTGGTCTAGATAAATATATGATATTTTATATATATTTAACGATAGAATAAACGATTACTTACGAATCTTTTGCAATTAAACAATCAATATTCACAATTTTCTTTGGCTAAAACAAAAATAGAAATAGAAATAATTTTCAGATTAATAAGAATTGTTATGTTAAACATAAAAATAGATTATTTCCGGCATTACAATACATTTAATAATATATTCATTTGCACTATTTTCATTTGATTTGTACTTTATGATACTATTAAGACTACTGAATCGAATCAAAATTTGATTTGTCATATGTTATTATATGGTATGAACGAAAAAATAAATGTTACTTCTACAGAATACACCCACGTCATCATGCAATGTGGTGCATTATGACATCAGGTCAATTAGTATACGATCAAAGTAATTACTAAATACGGTGTGTGCATTCTTTAGAAGAGCCGTAATAATCAATCCATCAAAATAAATGACCTTCAATATATTATTTTAATATCTTGCTCAGTCTTCATTTTGTATGCTTGAATTTTTTTTTCAAAAGAAAAAGGTACTATTGTTCAATTTTTAATAAAGTGTTTTTCAAGCAATTTCCTGGATAAATTTAATAAAAAGAATAATTGAATACTAAGAATGTATATAAAAATAACTTTTCAAACTGTGTTTTATCCATTATGAAGACATAAAGGATGGTGCTTCTGAGAAGGTTAAATTGACCTAGCCGAAACTTCTGATTATTGTACCACATACTATGCGTCTGTGTTGCCAAAAATAGATTCTCGACCTCTCCAAGTTTAAAAAAATTCCTGCCGAAAGGAGAATCTAGATAAAACACTGATTTCAAAGATGAAAAGCTAGTTTTTAAGAATTATTCGTCAATTAATAATAATAACAATAAGATAATATAGCCATTTGGTAGTCCTTGATAGTGCTCTATCAACTGACTATAATTGAAAAACTTTCAAATTAATCTTTAAGACATGCTTTCATCAGTTTTCTTGTCATTTTTTGGAGCAGTCAGACTATTTTAATCTATTATTATGGAGTTTAAAAGAAAAGTAACATTATGAGGTAAAAAAAAAAATGCTCTCGTCTTTTAAGTTCCATATTCTTATATAAATAAAAAAATGACTACTTAATCAGTCTATGGGTCAAAAAAGAGTTTGGAACAGTCAAATTTTTCGATCTTCAAATCGATTTCAACTTTATTTAAGCTGTAATTTATTATAAAAATCAGTTTGAAAACCTATTCTGTAATACTTATTAAGTGTTAACTAATAATTTTTGTATGTAATTTAATTTTAGCCAAGTTTTTGGTATTTTTTTGTTAGGAATTGAATGGCACATCTTTTTGAAAAAAAAAGATCAAATTTGCACAGTAAAGATTGAGTGAAATATTAACAAATAATAATAAGAGAAACATTCATTCGGACATATCCGTTATGAGCTATGACATAAAAATCAGAGTTTTCATTGATTTTAAAGAAATATTCACTTTAAAAACAACTAAATTCATGTATATTAAGAACATTTCAAGGTATCGATAATTGTTTATTTGGTCCGACAAAAGTACAAAAGTATATTTATACTAATACTAAAGAGACTTTAAAGAAAAAAACTAGTAAATATGTCCTCTAGTCTTTATTAATTTTGCGTTTTTTTCCTCCTGAAATTTTGATTTTCTTCGGAAAGCACTACTTCAATCTCTGAATAACTTACGCATCTTTGTGTTTCTCACACTTATATGAATAAAATACACTTTGACCCAAATATGTGCACTCGAAATCTTTACATACATTTTATTACATGTATATATGAAAATTTATATAAAAATACTGTTACTACAATCCTTCCGGGATTAAAATGTGAAGTACAATGTAGCTAGTGTTATTAACCACAGGAAATTACTTTATTCTACCTATTAAACGATATATTTCTTCACCATGCTTTGTCTTAATCCTTCAGAAATATAACAAGAAAGTAGTTCATACACTACATTACAATGAGATTCTATTGATATATGACCTTCGATTGTTTAGCAACAATATTTCGCACAGTCTGCGAGAGACCTAAAGTTCTATCTCTATATTTCAACACTCCTTGGAGATCATGTTTCATAAAAGTAAAATTTTGTATACCTGAACATATTTATAAAAATCATAAATCATTTGTTTCATAAATGCAAATATAATTATTCGTGGTTGATAATCTTCTATAATATTATTATGTGTAATCATATCAATAATTGATTGAATTTCATTTTCTTTAATTATATTTAAATCATCAAATGATGAAAAAACATTTCGTCCAATAATAATTGTTGTTGGATAAATTTTATTTTCCTATAAAAATTAAAATACTAGAATAGAAATAAAAAGAAAAAGATATGCTTATGATACTTCATAATATGCATCAATGGCTAATCGAACAAATATTCCAATATCAGATCGAAGATCATTTTCATTTGTATATGACTTTGCATGACTAAAATATTCTGTCATAGTATAATTTAATGAACCAACAATAGCCAAAACATAATTAAGATGTTCTGATAATTTATAATTGACATGTGTCGATGTCCATGTAGCTAAACCAATTATCATTGTATTTGGCTAAAAAAATCTTTAAGATAGTGAAACTTATTTTTACATCAAATTAAATTTTACTATATTAATATTAGTTGTTCGAATTTGTCCACCAAGTTTAAAATTAATATCTCGAGCAATATTTAATGCAACACCTGGTAGAATATCGTCATCAGCAATTGTACTTCTTAAAACAATCTAAATATATAAAGTTTTAATATTTTTCTTGAATATGATAATCTTCTCACTTCGCTCGGAGTTGGTATTTCAATACAACAGATACGTTTAATTGTATTGTAACGATCAATTCGACGTGATTTAACTATTACTGATACGAGTTGTATCTAAAGAATAAATTCGAATATAAGAAATATTATGAAACTTAAAGTAATTTACTTGTTCATTGAGATTAGTACGAAGAGCATTTGCATATGTTTCTGTTTCATCATCATCCATTTTCACATGAATTGGCTCATTAATAAGCATTCCTTGTTGTTGACCTACTTGTCGAAGCATATTGACATAGATTGATGCTCGATCTTCGTCAATTTTTGGATAAATTAATAACCAATTATTGAGTTCAATCTTCAAATTTAAATAAATATATCTTTCAATAGATAATTGTGTCTATTAACATTCTCAAATGAGATCAATTTTATTAGTGATCAAATTCAGATCATCATTAATGATCAAATAAGGATTTCTAGTTGAATTAGACAAAGAAAAGACTAGATGTAAACTGTAATAAAGATTTAAATGATTAGGTTTAATTTTAAATCAGATCTAACTATAAAAATTCTATCGTATTTTCTTTATGTTTTGAAAATACGTAGGACAATGTTTTAAATGATATTATCTCGTATAATAATAGTGATATACACAGAAAAATTGTCATAATTAGGATATGGGCACCGAGAATAGTCATAACCTTGTGTTACGTTACATACAATGGATTCATAATTCATTAAAACTTCTTCAAAAAAAAATAGTAGTCGATTTTGAGACTTTTATTATCAAGTTTCTTCTGTTTACATCACTATAATAAAAAAAGAGATCATGCCATCGGATAATGTATAAACTAATTTTCGTTGAAGCCCATAAATTATGGGATACCCTTTATATATATTATCAGAAACATTAGGATTCAATCATATTCTGAAGAAAATCACAATTTTATGTTAATCTGATTGACAAAATAGATTTAGGGCAAGGAACTCTAAACCATATTGTATACAAGAAGATTATAGGCATAAACTCAGAGTTTCGTCTATTTTGTTCCAATCATTCTCACCGACGATCAAACAGATGAAACTGATAGTCAATCTTGATTAATGATTGTCGAAACTAATTATAATCAAATCTAATTCAAAGACAAAAATTTTTCATACCGGATTAGTAAAATGTCCATAAGAATGATCATTATCTTGTATATCTTTTTGTTCATTTTCTTCATCATCTTCTAGAACTGTACTGTTATGAAAAATTTTCTAAAAAAGACAAATCTTTTTCAAATGATTTGATTTTCTCTCTTTTTTTTTAAATATACTCGATATGATTCATCTATGGATGAATGTATTGGAAAATTGGTTGGAACAATATCAATACCCCATAAAGCAAGATATTTAATTGTTGCCATATTTCGTCGAATCATATCATTAAAATAGGATATTTCAGCTTGACGTCCAGTTGAATCTAATGGAATAAAATTATGTGTCTTTCGTGCCTATAGCATAGAACGATGAAAATAAATTTATTTATTAAAAGAATAATTTTTTTTTATACTCGAGCATCTCGATGTGCACGATCGGATAAACCAGTTAAATAACAAAATTCTGGAACAAGATAATTAACTTCTGTATTTGTCTGAAAATACAAAAAAAAACCAACATTCATATTAAATCATTATAATAATGAAATGATTTATTCATACAGTATTTTCACCTGGTCGTCGTGGACAATAAACAATTAATGGTTGATCAGGATCTTTAATAGTGATATCAAATTTATGTCTATAATAATAAATAATTATTTATATTAAAAAAAAAGTAAACAAACAAACAATAAATTTACAAATAATAATCAATTAATGTTGTTTGTGAATCATCATTAAATGTAAATGTAGCTGGTGTAAGTTGAAAATCAATATTATCAATACGTTGTGTTCGATTATCATATCGTGTTAGAACAAGTTTATTAATTAATTCTTTTCTAGCAGATTCTTGATAATCATCACCACATGTTGACATATAAAAACGTTCTCTAAACAAACTGCTTTTTTTTTGTTTGTTTTGAATTACAACTTACAATTCTTCATAACATGTTGTTGATGGTTTTTGTACAAAATCAATTGTTAATAATATTCCATCATCTTTATGTTCAATATTTACAACTTTACCATTCCAATGACGTACTCTTCAATACAAACGAAGTTAAATCTTACGAAAGAATATATTCAATTGTCGAACACTGTTCGATCTCATTTTTTGGGGGGTTATGAGTAGGAACCAGTGAAACTAAGAAAACTCTAAATTGATTCAGGTCTATGCATTATCCAGCTAAAATTACAACCCTTTTAGTAGTTTTTGGTCTTTGAACCAAGTATTCACAGAAAACTTAAACAAGAAATTCTTATCTGAATTGTTATCCTTAGACAGGTCTTATGGTCATTAGAATATCCTCAATATTTCAGCTCAAATAGATGCATTTTTCTTGAGATGACAAACGTGTAAAATAAATCGATTTTATAGCTTGCCTTGTAATATATAAGCATTCGTTTGAGCTGAAATTCTTAAGATACTCTAATAGCCATGAGACTTGTCTAAAAATAAAACATCAGATGAAAATCCTATTATTGAGTTTGCCATAAATAGCTGACACAAAGATCAAAAAACTTAAGCTAGGTAACGCATGAGAAAAAATCTTTTAAGAATTCTCTTAGTTTCATTGAGTTCAATTCAGAGCCAAATTATGAAATCGAACGATATTCAATAGTTGGATATGTTCCCCTTATTAGTTCTTCTATGAATTTACTTTTGTCGATGTCCACCATTTCGATTTATTGAATTCATAATCGATTCTCGACCTTGATCAATTGCTCTAAAATATTTCGAATCGTTTTTTTTCTATTCATATTTGAATATTTAACTTACAATCGAAATAAAACATTAATGAGATCCATTGGTATTTGTTCAATATTAATTGTTTCAATATAACGTATACGTACTTCATTGGGTGTATTTATTGTTGTATTATTAAAGGTAAAAGTCTATTTAAGTAAATATAATTTTTTTTATCAATAAAAGTTTTTTTTACTTCTTTTAATAATTGTCGTGAAACATAAATAAATTGACCATCATATAATTTATGTAAATCACCAAGACATTTTGATAGATGATTAATCATTTTAAAACGAGTTGTTCGACTTGTTATTATTGGTTGAAACTCAACTAGATATTTATACCATTGAGTTATTGTACAATGAATAAATAATTGATTTTCTAAACTAAGATTTAATCATTTATTGATCAAAATAAAAAAATTTTCTTTTGTTTTTCTTTTCAAACGAAAACTTACAGATCTTTTGATGAATTGGATAAAGATGATTGTCTATAATAGAAATAATAATTTTAAAACACAATAAATTATTTAACTAACTTTATTTGACGTAAAACTTGTGCAGCACGTCCACTAGCTACATTTAAATTATTATTAATATTTATTGATGGTGCTAGTGGAGATGTATATGCATTCGTCTATGATTATAGAAATATATATAAACAATAAAAAATAAAATAATATTATTTACTGAATTTTGTAAGATATCTTTTGCTGAATTACCACGTCCATAATTACCTAACACTTTCGAATTATCCATGATTGACATTAATAAAAATACGTCTTTCAAAATTATTATATTATTTGGGAGAAATTTGATTTATCCAATAGGTTTTTTTGATCGATTCTAGAGTCATCTAGATGAAACTTCTTGATAAAGGATTGTTGCTAGGAGATAAACATTTTAAATGGTTCAATAGATTTTCTATACAATTGAATATTTTAAAAGGTTTTAGAAATGTCTGACGAACAAAATTTACCATTACCACCTCTTCCAACCATGGTTAATGATAAAGATGAAGATAATAGTAATGTTTATCATGAATCAAAAGATTCAAATGACGAACAAGAAACCAAATTAGCAACAGTTAAAATGTTGCTTGAATCAATCGGTCAAACTGTAACAGTTGCTTTTCCACTTCGAGCACCAATAACTGAATTAATTACACATTTTGCTAAAGAATTACGTATGCCAGAAAATGTTTTACAAATAACATTTAAAGGTAAAAGAAGAATAAAAAAAAAGAAGATTAGTCACATTTTTATTTGATTCATATTCATTGGTGTTGTTTTTCTTCTTTTAGACAAAATTCTTGATAATCAATTGACTCTTTCACAGATCGAAGTCGAACCAAATACTACCGTTAGCATGGGTTAGTGAATCATCATAAAATAAATGCATTCCTTTTTTGTTTCTGTTTGTCTTTAAATTTTCTTCTAGAATTACATTCAAAAGATCCAGTAAATGAACCATTACGACCATATAAACCACGTCAAGATATTTCTATGCCTGATGTAATCACTGTTCGAATTGATGAAGGTATTAAAAGTCTTTTTTTTCTTCTTAATAAAAAAAAAAAGTTTTTATTTGTAATAAAATCAGGTCAAAATATGAGTCGTGATGTTGTTGTTGAAATTGAACGAAATAATTTTCGTAAACCTTATTTGGGTGGTGTACGTCATCGTATGACCGGAAAAGAATACCATCATGCTAGTGCTCAAACTTTACCACCGCAAAGACCCGATAAAGGTATAATACGTTATTGTCGTGATACACAAACAATTCAATCACGACATCGAGTTATTCAAACAACAAATGAACAATCAACACAAATGAGTAAACCTGGTTATTATGTGTCAACTGAAACTGATCGTTTATTAACACCACATCGTTATCAAACAGCTGAAGAAAAGTTTGAAATTTTAAATAAAAAAGTCAGAGAATTATGAAATAAAGAAAGTAAAAAATAAATATATATTATTTTGATTTAATAGGCAGTTATAATACAAAAGTATTTCCGTCGTTGGTTAGCTAAACGTGATGTAAATACATTAAGAGAAGCATTTCAAAAACGAATACAATATGAATTAGAAGATAAACAAAGAAAATTAGATGAACGACAAAAACGTTATCAATATGATCTTGATAGACGTTTGCATCCAAGAACAAAAGATGATTTTGATGTACTTTATGCTGCACTTGAAAGTAAAAATTTTATTCAATAAATTAATAAATTTCATTTTCTTTTATTTAGAATGGCGTGAAGAAGAAATAGCAAAAATAAATGCAACAAAACAGGGTGCTGGTAAGAGAGTATTAAGAAACGAATTAATATACGTAAGGTATCTTTTTTTATATTCAAATAGCTCGAAAAGCAGCATTAGCATTATTAGTTGATGAAGAAACAGAATTATTAGCAACTATTGATCGATATAAAACAGAAGCTCAAAAATATAATAAAGAAGTTAATATACAACGTTTTCTTGAACGTGTTGCTCAACCAAAAAGATGGAAATATAAAGATGGTTCAACAACAGAAATGGAGTAAGTGATTTTGAATTGCAGTAAAACTTCTCTAGTTTTTTCATCTGTTTTGATCTAAATATCTTGAATTCACAGATTTTTCAACAACAAGAAAAATTTCATGTTTTTTAAAAGTTCTCTAAACTCATCAAGCGAGCAAACTAAAATCACTTGATATTGAATGTTGATTGATAAACAAGGCAGCGTTTAACTGTTGAATGAGGAGTCCAACATCATGAACTTTGTTAGCATATACCATGATCGACGCTAAAAGAATTGGGTGAAATATCTATAACGCTGAACAGAAGGCGAAAATGGGGCTCGTGTTTTTGAGATTTTTATACTTTACTGGAGTCTATTTTATGCACAGAATTCAAATTCAAAAGTGATTAATCAGTTGAAAACGTTCCTATTGGATTTTCAAGGTTTTAAATAGTAACGTTTGACTTGCTTTTTCAATATAATAGATATTTCCTAGTGTTCGAACTTCTTCGCTCAACAACAATGTATCATCATTTTGAAGAATGTTTTTTACTCGACTTCGTCCGTATAAAGACAGTTTTACAAGAATAATTATTACATAAAATGAGATGAGATTTTTAAACAATTCTATAATAGAGAAAGAAATTATAGTGAGTATTTCTTCAGAATACCAAATATGACTTTTGATTTTAATTAAATTTTTTTTGAAATCTACAAAAATACTATCGAAAACTATTTTTCATTTATTAGTACACCTTATTCAATTCGTGCTCGTGAATTAATGCAAATTTACAATACAATTACTATGAAATTTTTAACACTTGATGAACGACTTGATATTCTTCTGACTTTAAAACATACTGTGAAAGTAAATTGATTAGAAAATTTTTTCATTATAATTGCACGAAAAAAAAAAATTAAATTCTAGGAACATGAATGTCGTCTTACAGAAGAAATAATTCAATTAATTGATCGTGAAGCTGATCTTCTTATGCGTGGAACAAAAGAAGAAAATTTATCTGGCCTTCGTCAACGTATTTCGACTTTATTTCTTCAATATATTAAAACACCTACATTCAATCCAGGTGTTGTTCGACATCTTAAAGTAATATTTGAAATTTCTATGTATAGGATATCTGAAAAGTCACTATACGAAAAACCTATATTTGAATATTCTCCTTAGAGTTCTCTTAAATGAAAGCACTTCGTTACATATTGAACCTGAAAATGTTATCTTAGTAGAACTATTTAAAAACTTTGATTATATAGAAAGACATTTGAAAATATCTTCTATTTCTAGTACAAAAAACTAGTCTATTCGACAGAACCCTAAGAGAGATATTCAAATTTAGGTTGTTTTGGTCTATTGACTTTTGTGACACTCTATGTATATAATTTATTCACTTGAAACTCTACATAGGTGCCACAAGATCCAGTCGTTGCCATGGAACAAAAAACACTTTATTGTCGTAGTTGTCAGAAATACTATCCATCAACAGAATTTTCTGTTAGTAGTACGAATGCAAAAATTGGTAAATGTCGACAATGTCTTCGATTGGAGAATATTGCTAATAAACGAACGGATCAAACTAAATATAAGTATGATATTAAGAAACTTCGGTTTGAAATTATTTTAATCAAACATATTCTTATTATTTAGATTTTTATTTAAAAAGATTGAACAAGACGAATGTGCTTATAATGATGGAGCTCGTTGTATATTCTTTTTAACGGTACGAATAATTTATTATATTAAATAGATTAATAACATCCATCAGAAAATATATATTGCATGAATCTTTTTCTTCATTAGACCAATGATATAGAATATATGTTTAAAAATATTTGGGATAGTCACTCAGCATTAAGTGAAGAATCTGACATTTACAGTTTAACATTTGTTCGATGGAATCGTCGTGAAGAATTTTCTCCATGGAACTGTATACTCTTAACATTACAAGAAGCAACAGCTCATTTAAAACTCGAAGATGTTGAAGGAGTAAATAAATGTTTAATTAATCAGAAAAAAAAAGTCATATTTACTTGTATTCTCTGTTAAATAGAGTTATAGCGAACCATTTCGTAAAAAAATTCATTATAAACATGCTGTATCACGAAGTCATTTTGTTAAACTTGTGGAACATGTGAACAACAAACACGAGCAACAACAAACTAACACATCAAAAGATATGACTATAACAGCGGTTAAAATCGGACGACAGCGTGGAACACCAACAGCCATGACGAATACATCGGCATAGAAAAAAAAAATTGGACAGGATACTTTTTCTTATTGACTGATTAGAAAAAAAAAATTCTTCTTGTCTTCTTATTTTTCTGTTTCTTTTTATATTCAATAACAAAAAAAAATTCTTGCCTTTTATTTATTAATTTTTAAATTGAAACAAAATAGAGTGCGTCTATTTCTCATGCAGATCATAATGGATAATCAACAAACAAAAATAAAAAAACTAGAATTATTTAATGAATTATGTAATAATGAAATAACTGTAAGATATATTTGATCGTTTTATTTCAATGAATTATTTTAGTTTTCTATAGAATAATTTTCCAAAAACAGATGCTACTATTGCCGATACAATAGATGTTCTTCCTGCTAGTTATGATGATTTTTATAATGTGTGTAGTTTTATGATCTATCTCATATTGGTTAATATTTTTTTTGTGTCAATTTTATCATAGGATTTTGCAAGCATGTTTAAAACGACATTAACTGTATTACAACCAATTGAAGATCGTCTTAAAGAATGTGAATTAGCTATGAACGAATATACTAATTTATTTTTTAAACAAGAAAATGATGCCTTTATACCTATGAAACAAGCTGTTCGTTCATTTAGTATATCTCTTGATGGTTAGAAAAGAATATTTAATTTTTGTTTTAATTTTATTTTGTGGCATTTTTTTTTCTTTTACAGAAATTGATAAACTCGATCCGAACAGCGAATTAAATGCTATACTTAAACGACGAAAACAAATTTTTTTAACTGTAGCAACAGATGAAAATGAAAAAGAACGTAAAACTATCGAAAATTTACGTTACAAACCTTTTCAACCAAATGTTTATACTGATTGGGCATCGGATACTACCATTGAAGTTATTGATATTTTAGATAAAGTAACTCGAGCACAAAAATTTAAGGTTAGCTATGGTTTTATATATATTTTAAATAATAAAATAATTTTTTTTTTATGTAGGAAAATTTTTCTTATTATTGGAATAAAATAATTCGAAGTGATACAAGTCAATATTTACTCATTGATACATTTTGGTGGTTTTATTTAAAATATTTCATAGTAAAATGAAATTTTTATAATTAATGAATATAATATAGAAAAATTCATTTTATATAGAAATTACCCAATGGTGATGATGAATGTGAAAAATATTTTACACGTATTGCTAAAAATTATGTTGAATTACTTCTTTCTGTTGATCCATGGTTTCGAGATAAATTTTTCAATGTTAGTTTTGGAATTTTGTTTATTATAAATGTTCATTGTTTTTATTTTCTTATTATTAAAGATTTATGCATCTTATTTGGCTCAAGCAGTTTATCAAACATTTTTTGATATATGTCCTGATTCACGAATGAATTTAACTGATAAGTTCAAAGAATTTGTTGCAAGTACAATAACTGAATGGGTATCAGGTATATTTGTATGATTTCAATAAAGAAAAACACTTTTATTTTTAATTAGGAGCTCAAGCAACTCCTGAATCATATAAAAATTGGAAAATTCGTGCTGATGCAACTATGATAACATCTGATAATGCACTGGAAAATACTTCGTCGTCAAATGATAGTTAGTATTTTAATTTATATTAATAGTTTTCTTTTTATTTCTTTTTTTTTTCATAATTCAGTTTACAAAAAAATTCTTCGTCTTGAAGAAGAACTTGAAGCTTTGGGCGGTGATAATCGAGATGAAACTGCTCGATCTGCGGTGACAAAAACACCTAATTTAGCATCGAAAAAAGTCTGTCAATGTTTTTATTCTTGTCAATGAATGAGAAATCTTGGTTTTTTTTGTGAATAGAATGTGTCATCCAGTTTTAATATGAGCGCACAAAGTGAAAATGAATTATTTGGTTTAACAAATCAAAGTACATTAGTCGCTCGATTTCTTGATCAATGCGATATTCAACCAAATACACCACGTTTACGAAGTATACATCGAATGCATATTAAAGGATGGACAACAGACCAATAAATTTGTTATTCAATGATCTTCTTTTTTTATACTTAAATCTCGGATGTTAAATTTGCAGACAGTAATAGAATCTCTTCGTATTTTATGAAAAGCATTTAAATACATGTAGTCATTGATAATTGAAGAAAAATGAAGAATTTTTTAATAACTATTTAAAAATAAACCTATTTTTCAACTTTTTCTCATTGATTCGTTTTGTAATATTAAAAGGCTTCTTGAAGTATCCATTTATTTATACTCAAAATATCAACGAGGGTATGAGCGGGCGTTGGTGTTGATGAAGAAGAAACTCACACTTACATTCTATTCTACCATTAGTTGGCTCATCTTTTTGACGTCAACATTTTATATTAGAGACGCATTGATTCTTCGAAATCTTATCAGTGCTTAAATATACAAAATATAGAAGGATAAAGGTTCAGTAGGACTACTTAGAGATTCGACGCATTCTTCAATCGCCGACTGAGTCAGATTTCGAGCTAAAACGCATTAGTTAATACTGGCCAAGAGGACGGCACAAAGACATATGAAATTTCTCTTTAATTATCTTCACTGAGTTCTGTACAAGCACTTTCAACACAAAGTCAAGAAATTTGGACAATTTTTCAGTTGAAAAATCGATTTAGAAAAAATTAACCATTCTGCTCTCTGAAAAAGAAACTGGTTCAGAAACTTATTCGGAAACTTTTAGAGGTTTGCAAGAAGTTTTCCAGACACTTTCAGTGTTCCTGATAGGACCTTCTTGATTTTCGAAAGGTCGGAAATCTTTAGGTTTCTTAAAATACTGATTTTAACATTCTGAAGTATTGTAGAATATCTTTTTCTTGCTCTCAGAAACCTAATCGTATTTTCAAAAACCGTTAGGGTATCATTAGAAACTAATATTGTCCGATAAAACGAGTTGGTATCCGACATGGTACACAAAAATACCTTTGTGGTTTTCGAACATCTTGAGCCTCCAAAAAGTTTTGATGGGGAACCGAAGTTGGTTTTCGAATTCTTGTTTGACATTTCAATAAGTTTCTGAAGTTGTAACAATCTTTAGAGTATTTCATAGGAGGATCATGATTAGAACTCAAAACTTCTCACAAGAACAGTTTAGATGCCCGAACTTTTGTTTTGGATCTTTGTTTTCACTCAATGTTAAAGACTTTTAGTTAACTGAAAACTACTCGCATATTTAGTATAACGTATTTAATTACAAACCATTCTTTCTGTGCATCATTTTTTCTCGAAATTTCAATCTATTCCATACCCCATATAGTAATCCTATCTGATCTTTACATTTTTAAGTAAGTCAGCGTTTCGAATCAATGAGGAAAAATATCATAAGTAATAAAAGAGTATAAGACTGCAACAAAGAACATATTTAATTTTCAACGAAAATTACGAATTTATTTCGAGCTTTCGATAATTTACAATTATCATCATCAGGAAACAACTAACGAAAAGCAGAACAACTATTATAATATATACGATTAACATCAAAGGATAACACATTACAATATTGTTAAATGAAAAGACATATTATAATAATTCGAATTATTATAATATCATATTAATAGTTTGTAAATCAATAATAATTATTATTAGTGACAAAATCATTTTATTATTCTTGCCTAGTTCCAATACATTGCATTAAAATAACCACTTAATATAGTAATTTTGATTTTTAAAAGTTGTAGACAGTGAGAGCATCAGAAACTTCTGATTTCAGATTATCATTATAACTCGTTAATTTTTAAACAAACCATATGGCTGAAGGCTTTCGAATCAAATTAAAAGCTGCAAACTGACCCAACATATGTACAGATTATTCTCAATTACATTGTATCTAAGCAATATGTGTGTATTTCGTTCTGCAAAGACCGATGAATCATATTTCTAGAATTGTCGAATATTATTAAAAACTAGTAGCTTTTTTTTCGCTTTAAATTATCAACGAATTCATCCGCAACGTAAGTCTCATGTCGATTTAGAAAAACTAATAGTTTTGTTTTTTTCATTTTAACTTTGGATGAGCATCGTAGAAGTTGTAAGTTGTGTGTACGAATTAAAGAACTATTTATCGCTTTAGATTTGTTCTCGATTCAGAAGGAGAGGATCGGAACTTCAGAAACTTTTGATTGATGTCCAAGATCGGTACTCGAGATTTTACCATAGTTTAACTTTCGGGTTTACGAAGTATCGGACACCCTTCAAGGGTCTCAGATAGTAACAAAATCGGAAACCTTCTATGAGGTTTTTTGGGATACGATTTGTTTTTAAAGAGTGCAACATGCTATCAAAGTTTTAATAGTACTCTAAGCAAAAATGTCTTGTACGTCCAGAAAAACAAAAGAATCGTTGACAAATAAAATATATGTGGAAATTAAGTGCATATAATATTTCAAATTTCAGTTTTCTTACAAACGATATAGCAACATTTCTTTTGTCTGGAGCTCTGCACTCTCAACTACTTCGAGTCATCATTGGGCTTGTTGTTTCGTTTCTTTTTTTTTGAGATGATAACAAAATAAAATATAAACATGTAATACAAATGTTTATTATCATTTATGACATTGAGTTATGTTTCATAAAATAAAAAAACAATTGTTGATTTTTTGATTGAAGCCATACCCTATGGTTAATAGCACCTTCTAGTAGCAATGGATTGTATGGAGTGCAACGTGGATGCGCATCCCAATAATGTAATATTCTCAAATAATGTTTTTAGTGTTGGTAGTGTTTCATTCGGTTTGATTATAACGCCATTCTGAGGAGCGATGATCATGAATTGGGTAATGAATTGATTGGAATATATACTCTGAAGCTCATCCATAAAAAGCTTGCCAGTAAAACAAATGCCAACAATATCACAATAATTATATGCATCTGATACAGATGTGTCTGAAGTAGCAATCGATGTTTGTGCACATGGATCTGGTGCATCACAAGTCGGATGTGGTGCCGAATAGACAGCTGTAGCGGCTGTTCCCGGTGTATTTATAGAGATATATCAAAGCCATAGCAGCTCCGTTTGATCCTTCATCAAGATAAACTCGTTTTTCATCCATAACACTTTGATTACTCGAGTCTAACTTCCATGATTTTACACTCTGCATGAAAAAATCAATGTTTTTTCGCATCGACATTCATTTCTGGATCACTGCGATTAAAGTTTCGATACCTTAAATTCATACACATATTCTGTTATACGCGTGTATTCGTTAGCTAGGTAGCCTACCAGTTATCCCATCCCAAACCTTCTATAGTATAATATTCATAAAAAAATTTAATATCACGTCCAGTGACGGTCATCAGTACATAGCCTTTTCGAGTTACATTCCCTGTAAGATCAGCCGTTTTGGTTGCCGACACTCAACCAGTTTGTTAGATGAATTTATCTATCATTTAGAAACTTGTTCAAGTAAGCAGGACACACATGACTATATGAGACATATCATTCTTCAATAATGCTGTTCAATTCCAAAGTCAGAAGAGATGAGTGCTCCGTGCAACCAAACAACTAACGGCAATTGTTGTTGCTTTTGTTTGCCATTATAGACACATGCATGACGTTTGTTTCCATCTAGATCAGTATAATTTAATAATTCACCAGTATCAATTTGTAGTAGAAAAGTATTATTAGATATTCCAGTTTGGCATAGTTTTATAAAACTATTAAGAAATCCGTCAATAGTGTTAATAACTGGCCGAGGTGGATTACCGTATTGCGAGCAATTACTGCTATTATTAAAAGCATCAGTAGCTGAAGTTAAACCGATTAATATAGCGGTAATATTATTAAAACGAAGTAACATTGTTTGTTTAGCTAAGTTTTGAAATAGTCTAGCTGGAACGAAGACGTATTTTTCTAATATGTGAGACAAATGAGTACAAAAATTATTTGTATAAAGTAAATATAAGTATACGATCTGTTTAACTCTTTGACCGCCGCCGATGCATATAGGCCTCATGAGATATGTTAATATTCTCAAACATACTCAATCAATCGTAGTGCATGTTTTTTACATCCGCTTGTATAGACATAGGCAACAGACAACTGTAGTTTGTGATGTATCATTTCATACTGTTAAGTTCTAGAATATTTCCTTTAAAAAATGGGCGTGAATAAGAACAGTAAATTTGTTGTGCATATGGTTATCTTTTGTTCTCTTTCTCCTTTTCTTTATAATGTACCAGAAGCACGCGTGCCAGTTCTTTTTCATTTTCCCCACACATTCAGATTATTGAAATACATTTTCTTTTGTCTTCTATTCTTTCTTTCTACGTATATATATCTTCGTCCAATATATTCTGGAATGTTCTTTATTGCCTAAGTAACCTATATATACCCAACGTGTTTATGAATAGTTCAGTTTTGAATTCGATGCTTCCTGTAACGCATCTGATATCGCAGAATGGTGAATAGACAGTGATCATACGCCGCAGCAAAGCGGAGCTTAACACATTGATTTTGTGAAATTGGCAACATGAGGACATCGATTCTGGATGATGGAGTCGATGAAATATCATCAAACTCTGAATAAAGATCTGAGGTTGAAACAAGTTCAACTAACCACAGTAGTAATTCTACTGATGGTTCTGATGAAAATCTCTCGCAACAAGCATATTCTCCATTTTACGGTGAATCTTGGACAACCGGGTATTTTCGCCCAAGAAAACTGACGTTTAGTCTTACCAACAGTGACTACATGTCAGTAATCTAACGAAAAGTGAAAGGCGACACTTCTATGAACTTTGTTTGTTTATATTTTGACAAAGAATTGATACAAAAGATTGTCGATTAAACAGTGTTGTACCACAGTGAAATTGGAGAAAAAACATCTCAGGTATTGAGAATACCTGTCTGGTGTAACGTAACAATCGAAGAGATATATTTGTTTCGAGCCACAAAAATGTTGGTATCGTTCACAAAAACGAATGTATAGGAAGATTACTCATCAACTGATAGACTAATAATGACGGCTATTTTCAATGAATTATTCTCACATTGTCAATAGAGCTCTATACTAAGATACCTATGCTTCAATGATAACATCGAGCAATCAGAAAATTCTTTATGTGTGACTGTTCAACTGCATATGTTTTAAATTTCATGTTCTAAACTAGAGGCACTGCTGAAATGATTAAGACTTCAGAGCTTAGTATCTCTGGTCCGATTGTTATGACATTAATGGGAAAGTATCTTGGTAAAGGTCATGTGTTTTACGTCTATAATTGACACTCAAGTTCCAAGTTATTTTAGGCTCTGTATGAACGTTTAACTGGCGCTTATGGCACTGTGAAGCGAAATGGTTCTGGTTTTCCAAAATTTCAAGAAACATTGCAGAGAGGATAGTAGTGTATACAACATACCACATATATGGTAGTCGTAAAGAAGCATGATACAAGAGGTGTGTATATGTTATCAGCTGTGCATGATTCCTCAATGATGCCAACAGAAAAAAGAGCTAAAACACCGATAAAGATATTCTGAAGCCATTATGCATAAAAGAACACAATAAAAGCAGGAACATCGTAGACAAAGCTGCTATGCAAATAACGTTTTCAGAATCCCTTCGGAAAATTATATAGTAGTGAAAGAAACTCTTTTCTCACATAATCGATCTGTTAGTTCTTAATAGTTATATTTTATTCAAACATATGAAACATTCAACCTTTCAGCTATCGCAATTTAAATTAACAATCATTCGAGATCTCAATGCAAAGTATGGCTCCGAGAGATCACATATTGGCAGACCATTCAGAGCTCATACATTAAGATTGACGATCATGCATTTCCCTTCTGTAATTCCTTCAAATGAAAGCAGCCAGAGTACTCAAACAGGATATTATGTTTCCAGCAATACTGAACAACATACGAAGAAAGGAAGTGCCACCTGTTTCCCAGTGTACTGAATGCGATGTTGAGCTATGTATGATGGACTGTTTCAATGATTTCTCTACCTTACGGAAGATTTGGCGTTATCTCGTATAAACAAGTAAAACTGGATCAAAAATAAACAGCTATAATGATTTTCTACAGTACTTTTTTCTTTTTCTTATGTCGACGGTCAAAGGATTAAACAGATTTACTAAATCCAGAAGTAAATTTTAAAAAAATTTAACTTTATTTTACATGAAATTTCGATGTATGTTAAGTTTAAATTGATAAGAATTTAGATCTAAAAATAAACTAATAGGAGATTGCCATCCCTATCTAGTATCAGTGACAAAAAACTGATCTCGACTAAATCAGTCGAAAACCTTAGTAATATATTATTTTACTTCTAAAAGCTTCTGATGAAATTTCAGAACCTTAGTTCAACAAAAACATGTGATAGAGCCGTTGAAAAAGTTCATTACAAGAGAGCTTGCCAATTGACGAAATTATGGTATTATGCAAAGAGCTTCGGACCCAAGAAATTTGGTATATATGTTTGGAGTCAGAGCTCGAAAAAGCAAAAATAAATCACTCGCATACGAATCAGCGAACACACGTTTTCTTAGATGACATATCATTCATATTTGTCTCACAGACGACAATATTGTATATGTATGTGTCCATAAACAAATGATAAATCATTCTTTTTTTGGTTCAAAAGATGTATTGTTGAATCCTGTGCAAGTTAAAACTGAACATACTCTTGATTTCACGTTGCAACATAGTAAAAAAAACCTTTTTGTTATTCTCAAAATAGTGGAATATTGTACAATGATACAAAACTTCGGTTTTGATCTTATCAAAAATATCATCAGAGCAGAATAATAGGATTTCAAACTCTTCTCTTGATAGGAAAGTCAACAACACATTTTTTTAAGATAAAATTTTTTCAAGTAGTCTGGCATATGCACATATAACTGTGACTTTTTATTTAGAGCTTTTTTATCGTTTTATGTTGCAAATGTTTAGGCTAATTGGTTCAAATAGCACGATAAATTATTTATTTGATCAAATTATAGAAACAACAGAAACACCATTATTATATCATTCTATAATATTACTTAAAATTTTACTTCAATAGACAATAGTTTTGTACAGAATCAACAATCGTTTTTGATATATTTTTTTACTATTCTATCCAATTTTTTTTGTCCTATAGACTCTAGTGATCTTACTTCAAATCTTGTATCTTATCGAAATAACCATCAAAATTAAATAAAACGAAGCTTAGTTGTACTTGAATAATCTAAAACAAAAACTCATTGATCTGATTGAATCATTTATAATAAGAAAAAAACCAAAATAACAGATTTGCATTAAATACATTTATCAATATGGTTTGATACATAGCTGTATTTAACTAAGACTTATAAGTATCATTTCAATAGCGGTCAAGATACATCAATTTTCATAAAAATAAAATCAATTTTTATTTCGATAAAAACTTTTGTTAGATTATTACATATATTTGTTTATAAAAAAAAAGTTTTTCATAATGCTTTCATAAGAGATGTCACAGACGTGTTCTAAACAATAAAACCTAATGCTGATATTTTATTTATAATAATGTAAAAGAAAAGAGCACACACATCTCTTTATCTCTATATAAATGATCTATCACGTCCTTAAATACTCATATGATTTTGATAACAGCCAAGGTAGCTGATTTAGATATTGATATAAATGCTAAGAAATGGCAAGCTCACAATGAATCATCTGTCAAATATATGAGGGTGGATCATGAATGGCATAACGATTAAAAATTAAATGCCTCCACGTCGGTTTAATAAAATGGGTTATTGTTTTCAGTTAACAGTAGAAGTTTATTCAAAGCTTCTTTTTTCTCGTATAGATAAGATAAGTAAATGCTACTATCAAGCATTGTTTTTACTATGATGAAAACAATTTTATCTATTATCAACTAAGAAAAAATACATGCGTAGTATTTTATAGATAATTGTCAGTTGTCATCTAAGAGAGTAAGAAGAAAAATCAAAACAAACTTTGCAAATAATACTATACTGATGTACATCGAGCAAATTTTCAGAACTAGTAATTTTAAAAGACAATGCTTACAAAATTTTGAAAGGAACTTGATATGGAATGAGATCCAATTACTTATGGGATATGAATTTCAGTATTTAAACCGATTACTAGTTTTGAAAACGTGTTCTCTGTACATCAATATAGTTTCCTTTGACTTCTCATTATTCTCTATGAAATGCTTCATACGTATTTTTCTTACTTGCCAATCGATAAGATTTTTTTAATGAGACTAAATATATCACTTGGTAGTAGTATTTGTTTCTGTTGTCCGTTTAAGAAAGAAGAGCTTTCCATAAGTTGCTACCACCAAGAAAAAAATCTGCTCATTTAAGCGAATCGAAATGGAGATATTTCAATTTTTTACTCTAGTGCTATTTATGACTCATCCTGTATTTCTAATATCAACATATGCTACGTCAAAGAATCATTAGTTTTTCTTTTTGCTATAAAAAAAAGTAGGAACATTACAACGCGTAGGTCTATCTTTATTTTAATGAGATAAATCATTGAGCTTTTTAAAAAAGTAATTTTCAAATAATATAATTTTTAGATTGAATTATGAATACATTATATATACTCGTTTTGATCATCAATTCAGTGTGTATGTTTGTTTCATATGGTATGTATATAACAACTCTTTATTTTTTAATATGATCTATATCGATTTGTAAGATGCGGCATCGGTTTCGAAAGACGAGCAACATCTTATTATGCGTGGTCGTGTTACATTTCTTCCTAGTTTCCAAATTCCAACTGAATCTGGTGCTAGATTAACTGTTGCATTACAAGATACATCACTGGCCGATGCTCCAGCAAAAGTTATTGCAA